ATTTTTAAAAATCTACATCTAACCCTTGAGAGGTGAGTTACCTATGATGGTGTCATTTTCATGTCATGATGACACAAAAACTGTATGCCCTTAGAAACTGATAAAAACTAAAGAATTTATATATAATGTAAATAACACAGTAACAATAACCTTGCTTGAGTTGAAACTCTAAGTTGTTAGAAAAGCATGGAATAAAAATAAGGTAAATAGGATATTAATCAAAGTTTTGGTAGAAAGTTTATCCAAGTTGTAGTTGAGAAATTATGTCTACATTGCTTAAATTTCTCTCAGTAGAGTTATTTTTTTTCTAGTACTGAGGCTTGAACTCAGGCCATCATATTCTCCCTTGGATTTTTCCATTCAAGGCTCATGCTTTGCCACTTTAACCACACCTCCACTTCCAGCTTTTTGCTGGTTAATTGGCAATAATAGTCTCACAGGCTTTGAATTGCAATCCCCAGATCTCAGTTTCCTAAATAGTTAGAATTAGAGGCATGAATCACTAGTGCCTAGCCAGAGTTGATTTAAAAATACAATGTATTTAAGCTGGGCGCTGGTAGATCCCACCTGTAATCCTAGCTACTCAGGGAGCTGAGATCTGAGGATCGAAGTTCAAAACCAGCCCAGGCAGGAAAGGCTAGGAGACTCTCTCCAACAAACCACCAGAAAACTGGAAGCAGCGCAGTGGTTCAAGTGGTAGAGCACTAGCCTTGAGCTGAAGAGCTGAGGGACAGTGCCCAGGCCCAGAGTTCAAGTACCAAGACTGAAAAAAATAATATGTATTTAATTTTTGGTTATATAAGCCCATTAACTATAGAGTATTTGACTGCAATGCAGTATTTGTATGTAGTTGTAAGCTGTGAAAATGTAGTAAGAAGACACTAGACAATCGATTTGCTAAAGAACACACACAGGACCTCTATCCTTGATTTTGTTCTTCATCAATCTCATAGTCATCGTTTCAAAGAGCCAACGCCAACTTTCTTAACTGCACCTCTGAACCCAATGGGGCTGTGTTAAGCTGCCTATTCCACTGCTCCCTTCTGCTCCCTAATACTCCCTCATCTTGATCTGTCTCTCAGCAGATACTCTGATTGACCTAGCTACAATCCCTCATCCATCCATTGTGGAACAGAGGGCATCTTAATAATGTCACACAAGACTACACTAAAACTAATTCACCTACAATATCACCAATCTAGTGATTTTTGTTTTGTACCACTAATAAATTAGTGCTGTCCCTGGTAGTAATCATGTATATTGTGCAGATCACAAAAGTTAGAAAACTCTTCTGAAAGGCGAACTTCAGAATTTCAGTTTAAAATCTGAAAACTGCTGAAGCTAGACCTTCTACTCCACGTTCTCTTGAATGGTCTTGCTCACCTTTGCTGCTGCTGACTGGAAGAAACAGCGGTGGCAGCAGTAAGAAGCAAGGGAGAGAAGCGAGGGAGAGAATGGATATTGCCTTGGCAGGCCAATATATATCATGATAGGCCTTGCCGCTTCTATTCTATTTTTATTTTTTGTTGATCATGGGGTTTGAACTCGGGGCCTAGCCACTGTCCCAGAGCTCTTTCACTCAAGGCTAGTGCTCTACCACTTTGAGCTACAGTTCCACTTACGATTTTCTGGTAGTTAATTGGAGATAAGAATCTTATGGACTTTCCTGCCTGGGCTGACTTTGAACCATGATCCTCAGACCTCAGCTTCCTGAATAGCTAGGATTACAGGCATGAGCCACTAGTGCCTGGCTATACCTTCTTCTTAGCCAGAAGTCATATATGCTATTCTTTCTTACTACCTGATCTCTGTGCTTGGACCAACATTCATTCCCCTTACGTGGCTAGATTTTCAAGATTCATTTCATTCCTCATCTTTTTAGAAAGTCTCATTTCCTCTTTTACTTCAGTCTGGATGCCTTTTTCATGTTCCCACACCACCCACATACAGTTGTCATAGTGTGTTCAAATTGTCTGTGTACTTGTCTGTCACTTCAGAGACTGTGGGCAGGGCAATGACTAATTCACCTCAGTAATTGCTGATGCTTAATACAGCACAAATAAACAACAGGCATTGTTTCTGAGATAAATTAAACCAATCCCATTCCTTATTTAAAACCTCAAGCATGGGCACTGTTCTCCCCAGGATAGTAATGAGATATTAAGCAATGTCTTCAATTTTTTCATTCTACATTTTAGGGAAAAATACTTGCTTTTCAACATTACCATACTGGTGCTTAGATCTGAAAAATCTTTTTGAATGGTACGTATTATTTTTCACATTGCCTTTTTTTTGGTACTGCTGGTGCTGGGGCTCAAACTCAGGGCCAGGGCTTTGTCTGTTAGTTTTATTCACTCAAGGCTGGTGCTTAACCACTTGAACCACACTTCCACTTCCAACTTCATAGTGGTTAACTTGAAATAAGAGTCTCAAGGATTTTCCTGCCTGGGCAGGCTTTCTGATCTTTAGATCTCAGTCTACTAAGAGCCACCAGCACTATGCTCTTTTTTCATTGCTTTGATAGCACACTTGATATAAAAGAGAGGGGTTGGGCTGGGCGCTGGTGGCTCATGCCTGTAATCCTAGCTACTCAGGAGGCTGAGATCTGAGGATTGCAGTTCAAAGCCAGCCTGGGCGGGAAAGTCCGTGACACTCTTATCTCCAATAAACCACCAGAAAAACTGGAAGTGACATTGTAGATCAAGTGGTAGAACACTAGCCTTGAGTGAAGAGCAGTTGTTTATTTTGGCCAATTTCAGAGGTTCAGCTCAAAGTTCTTGGCTGGATTCTGGGTAAAACAGAACATTATGGCCACAGGAGTTTGTGGAGCAAGAGCCTTTTAACTTAATAGAGGACAGGAATCAGAGAGGGCACAAGGGACTGTATACAAGATATGATCTTCAAAGGCATGCCTCTATGAGTCCACTCCTAAAATTCCCAGAGCTTCCCAAAATAGTGCCACCAGTGGGCAACTGAACACTCAACACATGAACCTATGGAGGGACATTTAAAATTCAAACCATAACAGGTGTATTACATGGGCTCTGATGGAAAGTGACTTAATCTAAAGCACTCAACATCCCCCGACAGTTGTATCTTAGAACTGTCCTTGCTGCACACCCTGCTGAACCATCTCCCCTCCCTTCCCCCTGAACAAATGTGCCAGCTGTCTGGAAGACAGCCTAAGACCAAGGCAACATCTGATGCTGATGCTCCTGATGAACACAAGATGTTTGTTGAAACCTTGAAACTCCTTAAACATTGCTCATCCACCCTGCCTTCATCTCACCCTGCTTCCTTCTGCCCCCTGACTTCACCCTTTCAGCCTAATATTTAACAAGCCCTAGTTGTAAGGGTGTGTGTATGTACCATTTCCCCCTCAGCCAGGCTGAAGGAGAGTTGGTGGCCCTTCCAAGGCTTCACTCCTTTATAAAGCCTGTGCATCTATTGAGTTTGAATTCTGCCCTTTCTTTATTCTGATACCCTCATGACTCAAGTTCCTTAAGAGTCTGTCTGCTTTCTGACCACAAAGCAATGTTTTATCCAGTTCATGATTCTTGTCAGCTTTAGACAGATGGTTTTTTTTGTTTTGTTTTGGATTAGTCCACAGAATTATATTTCTTCAGTCCACATGCTTGCAGCACTGAATAACCAATTTTTATCAAACTATTAGGTACACTAAAAATCCGTCTGCGTTCTACACTGTCACCATTTATATCTTCTAGTTTCATCTGTATCAAAGAGCTAGGACTAGAAAAATGTATGTAAAGTATCTTGAACGGGGTGTCACAAAATATGTATTTGCCTAGTAAATTGTGCCACTGACCTAGGGGAAAGGATGTATTTCTATATAGTGATGTGAGATAATAGGACCACCTGAGAGCTAGAACCATAATGTTCTGTCCAATCCAGCCAAGAACATTGGACGGATACAAAAGCTGCTATTCAGTCTTCCCTTTTGGGGGCTGGGAGAGGGGATTCATTAAGTGCAGCAATGTGCCTAGATATAACATTTCTCCACTGGCTGAAACCTATGATACCTAGCTTGAGTAAGGTCATCTACGAGGTAGTTGCTGCAGGGAGGGTGGAACGGTTCTTTGTAACAAATAAGGATATGATGGCTGGAGCTCTACCTACCATTTTAACCCACAAGGCTAATTTGTGGAATGGAGGCCAGGCTGCAAGGATGCTGAAGCACGAAAGGGTTTGGGGTTCCTGGGGGTCAGGGGACAATTATGCAGCGTTTACTATACAAGAAAGAAAAATAACCCACACAACTTGTTGGATTTAGGATTTGACGATCTCCAACCAGGCATTCTGTTAACGCTGGGCCTTGCTGTCATCCGTGGAGCCTAGGACAGTACCTGGACCAGCTCGGGGCCAGGCTGGCGGGAAGAGTGCGAGGGGACCGGAGGAGCAAGAAGGGCAATGCAGGGAGCCGCTGCCACCTGGACCTGCGGCGAGACTCTTAATTCTGCCAGAGCAGAGCTCCGAGCTCTTCCTCTTTCCCTCACCCGCGGGCTCCGCTTGGGGGGCGCGGAAGCCGGCGCTCGAGACAAGCTGGTGACCGAGGTCCCCACAGAGTCGCTGCGCGGTCCCTCACCGTCCCCAGCCGCCCCGCGCCCCATTCGAAAGCGCCAGAAGCCGCCAGGGGCGTCACGGACTGCCTCGAGTCTCTATTGGTTAGTTTTTGTCACGTGGAGTGAGAGGCATTTCCCATTGGCTGGCGGACGAGCGGCCGCGCGGAGGGCAGCGCTCGGGACGCGGCCTCATCCCGGGCGCGCGGCCGCCGTGCGGCGATTGCGCGCGGCCGGGAGGACGTTGTCCGGCGCGCGGGGCAGATACCCTTCCTCCTTCGATACGTCGCCCCCGCCTGGGCGCGGAGGGCCACCGCTGGGCCTGGGGACGCCCCTGAGGGTGTGCAGGGACTGCAGGCAGGCCCAGCACCCGCAGACCCACCGGACAGCGCCTGTGGCGGGCCCCGCCTGGTCCACCTAAGCCTCCCGGCCCTGGACCCGGAGTGACCGACCCCACCAGCTCCAGGGCTCCCGATGCGAAGATTGGAAACGCCGAAAGGAGGTGCGGAATCCGCCGCCAGTTAGCTACACCCCCGTATGGCTGTCACAGTTATTTCGTTCAGTGTCTGCTTGTTACGGGCTGCAGTTTGAAGGCACATCCCCGAGGGGCATGAGCCTGGGTGCAGAGATCGTGGGGTGGAGGGTCGCACAATCAGGCGTCTTGCTGGGGCCAGTGCTGGGGAGCCCCCCACCCCGCTCCAGAAAGGGGAGCCGCCCCTCAGTCCTGCTCAGAGCGATGTGATCTTCTGATTGCTCCTAAGTAGTTGCATATCTGGATTTTAATGTCAGATCTTGATGTTAAATGTTGTCATTTACAAGCCAGTTCAAGACTGGCTAGTTTGTGACCTCTGATTCTATCCCTACATTGGACAGGTGACCTTTGAGGGTAGAGGGGTACCCACTGGAATCTGGGGACAGAGGTTAAGCATTGTTAGAACACCGTTCAATATTTTTTTGAGGTACTGTTACTGATGAGCTTTTATTGTGAGCACCCTTTTGAAAGGCTGATTGTGTATTTTTGTGTCTGCACTGGAGCTTGAACTCAGCGCCCTGCATTCTTCTTAGTTCTTTGCTCAAGGCTGTAGGTCTACCACTTGAGCCATATCTACACATTCAACTTTTTGCTTGTTAATTGGAGATAGCCTTGTGGATTTGGCTGGCCAGGTTGTCTCAATCCTAATTCTCAGATCTCAACCTCCTGCATAGCCAGGATTATAGGCACGAGCTACTGGCACACACCGTTTATTTATTTTGTTAAATATCATTATTTTGTTTTAACAAAAATGCTTTTGTTAAGACCAACTACCATGGACAAAAGACACTTGGCTCAACAGATGCCCTGTGATTGGTGCAAATAGAATCCTTCATTTGTATAATGGGTTGTACTTCGATTAATGCAAACCTAAAGAGGCTGCTGGTATTCAGTGCAGACTTTTTTTTTCCCCCTCCTTGTTCTTGCTATATGGCTGCTTGACTCACTTTGGGTGACACTCCTCATTTCCCACCTGATATTATAACACCAGATTCCATTAAAGACTTTCTCTTGAATGGTCTTGCTCACCTTTGCCACCACTGACTGGAAGAAACAGCAGTAGCAGCAGTAAGACTGGCAAACTGAGCAGCTCAGGCAAAAGGGCACCAGAAAGTATCAGTGGGCAGCAGAGAGCTATACCACTGAGGCCCTTGAACTATGGAGAGACTCAGAAACCCCTCTCACTACAGAATCTGTAACACTTAAGGCCTCAAACCCTGTCCTTCTGCCCTAGGTATCAGGGGCTTGAGTCCAAACCCAGAGACCAAACCCAGTGCCCATGTTATCATCCACTTTGCTAACTGCAAATAACCATAAGGGCCTATCCACAATTTGTATTGGGGTAAAACAAAAGATCCCCAGCTAGTTGTTTTGTATTTTTTTTCTCTCTGACATGCATTTGCAACATGGATTTTGCTCATATTTGGGCAGGGGGTTTAATGTGGAGTGAAAAGTCTTGAAGGTTACATGATTTGTGAGCTTCCAAAGAGATCTAGAACATCAGCATACAGTATACCTGTGACATTGAAATTTTATATGGGTTGTAGATTAGGAAAGGAAATACATGTTTAAAAAAATGCTTCTGAGAAAAGAGGGAAGGGAAAAATCCTAAGAAATTGCTTTAGGGAAGTAAAAGCAGGCATTTCAGTGACAATTGTGTATGTTAAAAGATTAACAAAAGCTGGGTGCGGTGGCCCATGCCTGTAATCCTAGCTACACACGAGGCTGAGATCTGAGGATCGAGATTCAAAGCCAGCCAGGGCAGGAAAGTCAGTGAGACTCTTATCTCCAATAAACCATTCAGAAAACCAGAAGTGGCACTATGGCTCAAGTGGTAGAGTGCTAGCCTTGAGCTGAAGAGCTGAGGGACAGTGCCCAGGCCCAGAGTTCAAGCCCCACAACCTACCAAAAAAAAAAAAAGATTAACAAAAATTGCTGGTAGAGAGCTGGAAGAACTTGAAGGGTTGTAAGTTTCATACTAGGCACTGTTAAGTAGCACACATATGTGCACACAATATCCATATTCACATACACAGTTTTATTCGATTTCCACAACAGAATGTCATTCTACTTTGAGAAAACTAATGCTCTGAGGGTTTGGATGACATGCCTCAACCAGAGCTATTCACTGAAAAAGTAATGATGTAAACACATGTATGTATGGATCCCAAATCACTCATTTATCATGTCTCCTAATCTGTCCAGTTACATCAAAGCCTGTGGACACCCAAGAATCCACCTTTGTGTTTTTTTTCTTTTCTACTCAACCCATGCTCTACCACTTGAGCAATACCTCCATCACTTCTTGCTGCTGCCCCCTCCCCCTCCTCCTCCTTCTCCTTCTTCTGCATCATCATCATCATCATCATCATCATCATCATCATCTATCGATAAGAGTCCTCAGATTTTTCTGCCCAGACTGGCTTTGAAGCCTAGTCCCCAAATCTCAGCCTCCTGAGTGGTTAGGACTGGACTCTCCCCCCCTCCCCCCCTCCCCATCACCTTGTGGGTTTTTAAAGACATGGATTCTCAGAACTCTCACTTCAGAAGTGTGGATTGGGTTCAGTATCTGATGAAATCTGGGGACCATTTTGAGAATAACAAACTTCTCACCCAATCCCAACTTCCATGGGTTATAGCCAGGCAGAGCTTTCATTTCTTCTTCCAGATCTTTCCTTCCCAAGCTTTCAGAAGGAAATTCTTTGTTGGGAGAAGCCAAAGAGTATGCTGCATCTCCTTAAACTGTTAAAGAGCTCTTTGTCAGGATCTGACCCTGTTGTTTTTCCCTGTTTTATATAATCTTCCTTCAGCTACATGAGAAAAAGTTTTAAAGCTAATTCACCCACAATACCACCAATCTAATGATTTTTATGTTTTGTACCACTAGTGAATTAGTGCTGTCCCTGGTATTAATCGTGTATATTGTGCAGATCACAAAAGTTAGAAAAGTTCTGAGAAATGAACTTCAGAATTTCAGTTCAAAATCTGAAATCTGCTCTGAGGCTAGACCTTTTTCTCCACTTTCTCTTGAATGGTCTTGCTCACCTTTGCCACTGCTGACTGGAAGAAACAGCAGTGGCAGCAGTAAGGCTGGCAAACTGAGCAGCCCAGGCAAAAGGGCAGCAGAAAGTATCAGTGGGCAGCAGAGAGCTATAACACTGAGGCCCTTGAGAGACTCAGAAACCCCTCTCACTACAGAGGGATTGAATTCATGGTCTCTCTCTTCTATCACTTGAGCCAGTCCCCAGGTCTTCTGTGTTTTATAGATAGGGTCTCCCGCTTTTGATTGGGGTAGCATTGGATCTGATCTTCCTATCTTTGCTTCCCATGTAGTTGTGATTACAGGCATGAACCTTCCTGTCCAGCATGATCTTATAGAAACCATATAGGAAGAACAGTATATATAACATTGTAATTTTCGAGTATGATTAATGGTTAGATAATACAATTATAGCTAATGTCAACAAAGCTAACATGATTAAGTTAAACTATCCTAATTAATCTCACTTACTTTAAGTTTGTCACAAGACATCAATCAGAAATTGTCTGATTTTTTTTTCTTTCTGGTACTGGGATTTGAACTCAGGGGAGTAAGCTTACTCACCTGGTGCTTTAGCATGTGAACTGCACCTCTGGCCCAGCTTTTTGCTGATTATTATTTTGGAAATAGAATCTTGCAGACTTTTCTGTCTTGGCTGGCCTTGAACTATGTTCCTCTGGATCTCAACTTTCTAAGTAACTAGGATTACAGGTGTGAGCCACCAGCACCTGACTCTGAATTTTTTTTTTGTCAGTCATGGGGCTTGAACTCAGGGTCTAGATGCTGTCCCTGAGCTTTTTGCTCAAGGCTAGTACTCTACCACTTTGAGCCACAGCTTCACTTCTGACTTTTGGATGGTTAAGTGAATAATTAATTGAAGATAAGGTTTTCATGGTCTTTCTTGCTGGGACTGGCTTCAGACTGCCATCTTCAGATCTCAGCCTCCCAAATATCTAGTAATATAGTCATGAGCCACCAGTGCCTGGTCTGACTCCAAATTCTTAAATCTCAGTGAAAATCGTAGATATAGATTATGTGTCAGAAAAGGGGGGATTTAAGGAAAATATTTGAAGGTACAGTTAAGAATTTTCCTGGTTTGAAGTGTTTTGTGGTTGATCTAAGAGACATAATTTACAACTCTTCCATAAAAATGATGGTTTTGATCATACTTTGACTTAACTCCCATGACATTATAATTTTAGTTTATTTGGAAATCATTCTCTTTAACAGCAATTAGTGTGGATACTTAATTCGTTAGAAGATTATGTCTAGAGCGACTTTCTCAATGGTTTCTATGGGTGTTTTACATTCTATTATAAGTTGGCAATTTATAATTTTACATTTATAGAGTATAAAGTAATAGTATGATTTTTAATACAATGTGAAAAAACTGACAAATCTATTACTTGAGGTGATAGTATTTGGAATTTACTTTATGCAGTTTTGAAATTACTGTAAAATACAGTAGCATTAGCAATATTTACCATGCTGTGCAATAGATCTCAAAAAACTTATTCCTTCTCAGAGACTGTATTTTTTGACTAGTATCTTCCCTATTCTCACCTTTCATATCCTCTGTAACTACCATTGTACTTTTTACTATTGTATTTATGAGTTTGTCTTATTTCTTTAGCATAAAACTCCCCAATCCCATGCATAGTGTCACAAATGACATCGTTTCCTTTTTTTTTTTTTTTTGCTTGTCCCAGGACTCAAACTCTGGGCCTCGACCCTTTCCTTGTGCTTCTTATGCTCAAGGTTAGTGCTCTGCTACTTGAGCCACAGGGCCATTTCCAATTTCTCTGAGTAGTTTATTGGATAGTAGAGTCCCATGGATTTTATTGCTTGGGCTGGATTCAAACTTAAGTCCTTAGATCTCAGCCTTCTGAGTAGCTAGGATTACAGGCATGAGCCACCAACACCGTGTATC